ATTAGTTTGTTGTTTCGTATTAATTGTTGTCTTTATTCCTTTTTCGAGTTGTAACCTAATTAGGAGTTCCTTTTGAGTTGTTAGGTTTAATTAGAGTCTATTTAAGTCGAGTCTATCATTGTAATCGTAAGAGTTGATTGAATTGAATAACAAACCCAGTGTTTTAGTTCTTGAGTTATGTCTCGAGATTTTATCTATTGTTTTAGCTACGTGTGGATTCCATAGCTATTTCAAGACCCTTGTTCAAGCTATTCTGTGGAGGATTCCAGAATCGCTTAGCAAGTTCTCTTATCATCGAGTAATCACCTTGATTGTGGCGAGAATTCTACCTTTCCATCATTATCTATCGATTGTTTGTGTTAGCTGCGTATTCTGATCAAAAGCATCCCCTGGTGCTTTATCACAAAACATTCTTAAAATCCACACATTCTTGTAATACACCATTTCCAGAATCAAAGGTTCCAAACGATCCAAAAGAAAATCTAACTGTCGAAGACTAAAATAACTTTTTCAGCTGTTGAAACTTATTTTCAGCTCATTTGAATCCCTTAACACTTAACATTAACACCTTTTTCAAAGTAAACTTTTAATTTAGTTAAGTTGAAGAGGTTTTCTCTTGTCGCTAGGAAAATATGGATCCTAGCTACTAGTTTATATGTATTCGTATAATCCCAATTCCTTGTACTTTATATTGTTGTCTAATTTATTTATTGCCTATTTTATTGTCATTTTTTCATCCCTCTGACATTTTTAAAAATTAGGATGGGATGGATAATTTTGATAGTAGACTTTTGGTTGTCTTGGTGAAAAATCATATTCCATATCCATGAACTTCATTTCCATCGTCTTAGATAAGATTGTTCAAAACTATCATCTTGCCTATCATCCAAAGTGCGAACAATATGTTCAATCCACCTTTGTTTTGCAAACGGTGACTTAATTTTTAGTATTTATCAAAGGCTTGTGTTCGGAGGACCTTGTACACCTGGTGAAGTGAGAGGTATAATTTAGGGGTAAGCCTACTATCGCACGAGATACAGTATTATGGTTTATTACATTTCATGAAAGGAAACTCCAAGTTCGATATTTGGATCCGTCTTGTTGGCGAACTATCTAGCACATACTCCATTATTTTGGTGGACAAGTTTCCTAGTAGGATGTGATGTTGGTGAGCTAGCAAGGTATTTTACGCAACTATGCTTCAACTTATTTCCTTAACCATTTACTCTTTGCTTTGGTATCATATGAGTAATATTTGTTCTCGGAAGGGAAACATCTCTTGAGATTTTGTCACATTACTGAAGAATGAAGGTGGCTTTGGAATGCTTCAACTTAGAATGAGCACGAGAGGGGGGAGCTTTGGAATTCTTTGAGAAGAATGGAGAGATGTACTCACCTGCCTTGGCTGATCACTGGGGATTTCAACTCAATTTCAAGATCGTGGGAGAAGCAAGGAGGAGCAGGCTTTAGTTTTGCTAAAGCCAGAGCCTTTAATGAATGTATTTATGATTATGGGTTGATCGACCTGGGATACTCAGGTTCGCAGTTTACATGGTTCAACAAAGGTTTGAGGATCAAAGAGAGACTAGATAGAAGTCTTTGTAATTTGGAGTGGCAGCAGCTATTCCCTCTGTCAACCACACTTCACCTTTCAAAGCTGAAATCTGATCACAGGCCAATCATAACTTGCACTCCAAACCAGGCTCATAAGCAAAATTTGGTGAGACGTTTCCATATTTTTGGTTCCTGTCTTGCTCATGAGAAAATATTTCCTTTCATTGCTTCTACTTGGAATTGTGGCAATGACTTTCCCTCTTCTCTGCAGAGAGTCACTGAGGCTTTACAAAAGCGGAACAAAGGTGTTTATGGAAACATCTTCATGGAAAAGCAACTGATTAATGAGCTGAAGTCTTTGGAAATGCTTAATGAAAGAAGACCATCAAGGAGTTCCCCGATGAGGGAACAAGAGGTTAGGATCTAGTTGGAACACACACTATGGGAAGAGGAGCTACTATGGATTCAGAAGTCCAGGGCCAACTGGGTTATCCATGGTGACCAAAACACCCGGTTTTTTCACAACAATACCTTGAGTCGAAGAAGGAGGAATAAGATCTTAACCCTCAAAGACGACCAAGGAAACTGGAGTGATGATGCTACTGAACTGCAGAATATGGTCAGGGAGTATTTTCTTAACTTATATACTAAGGATACCTCTTGTCTCTTGAATAACTTGCCTGCTGATTTTCCTTTACTTTGATGAGGACCTCCTGAGAAGGATGGTTCTACCTCCCTCCTTGGAGGATATCAGAGCCATTGTTATGGATATGAATGGTCTTAAGGCTCCTGGTAAAGATGGCTTCCAAGCCATCTTCTACCAAAAGTGTTGGAAGTTGATTAGTTCGAATTTCTCTAGGTTTATAATATCCTGTTTTTATAGCCCTGGTAGAATCCAGATTTTTAATGAGACATTGTTAACCTTGATCCCTGAAGTGGAAAAATCTTCTTCAATGAACCAATTTAGGCCTATTAGCTTGTGTAATGTGGGTTATAAGGTTGTGGCTAAGCTTCTTGCAAATAAGCTTAAGCCTCTTATGCCTCTTCTGGTGAAGAAAAATCAATCTAGTTGTATTCCAGATCGTCACATAACTGACAATATTGTTATATTGCAGGAAAATATTCACACAATGGCTAAGAAAACTGGAAATAAAGGATATATGTTGCTTAAAGTGGACCTCGCTAAAGCCCACGATAGGCTAGACTTGAATTTCTTGGAGGATACACTGAAAGCAGCTAGGCTTCCTGAAAGCTTCATCAAACTCATCATGGAGTTTGTTACTTCCTCGAGGTTCCAAGTCCTGTGGAATGGAGGGAGACTGAAAGCTTTAAGCCGACCAGAGGACTCAGACAGGGATGTCCCCTCTCTCTTTATCTCTTTACTTTATGTATTGAGAGACTTAGCAATTGCATCTTTGATGAAGTTAAGTTAGGAAAATGGAAGTTGATGTCCCTCTCCCCTGGGGGACCTGCCCTATCCCATCTTTTCTTCGCAGACAACCTGTTGTTGTTTGCTGAAGCTACCACTAGCCATACTAATGTGGTGCTGAACTGTCTTGAAAATTTTTGTTTGTACTCTAGAGAGTCTGTTAGCAAGGATAAATCTAGAGTTTTTTTCTCGAAGAATGTTAAGAAAACCAAACCAAAAATGACATTTGCATCAGACTTGGCATGCAAGCTACTAATGACATTGGTAGATATCTTGGTGTTCACACGTTTTGCATGGTTGTATGACTAAACTTACATATAAGTATGTCATTGATGGACTGGATCAGAATTTGTCCAGCTAGAAAGCCAAAACCCTCTCCCTGGCTGGGAGAGTTACTTTGGCTATCTCTGTCTTGAATGCCCTGCCCAACTATTTTATGCAAACAACCCTCCTACCCATGTGTATTTGTGATACCATTGATAGAAAGATGAAAAGCTTTGTGTGGGGATCAGGAGAGGGGAATAAGGAACATCACTTAGTGTCTTGGGAGAATATTTGTAAACCTAAGGATCAAGGGGGGTTTGGGGTTGAAATCTTCTTATTGTATGAATATGGCCCATATGGTTAAGTTAGGATGGCACATCGTTAACAACGATTCTGATTTGTGGGTCCAGGTTCTCCAAAACAAGTACTTCAAGCATAAGGAAGGCAATATCACCTCCATGAAGAAGACCAACCACTCTAGTATGTGGCGTGCTAACTTGAAGAGAATGAAGATTATGAATGAAGCCACATTTTGGAGTATTCCTGATGGAAGATCAACCATGTTTTGGTCCCAAACCTGGCTGGAAAGTGGTCTCGTTTTGGAGGATTTTTCCCTTAAGGACATTTCTCCCTGTGAACTGGACACAAGGGTTGCGAATTGGACAACTGAAGAGGGAGAATGGGATTGGGAGAAGCTGAAGGAAGACCTGCCAGGTGACATCCTGACCATGATTGCAGGGATGGAAGCACCTAAACCAGATTTGGGTGAGGATATCACTATCTGGGGACTGGAAAGAGATTGCAGGTTCAGGCTCAAGTCAGCCTACAAGCTCGGCAGTGAGGAAGCTGAGGTTTCAACCAATCACCCCTAGAAAGAACTCTGGAATGGAAAGGTCCAAATAGAATCAAACACTTCTTGTGGCTAGTGCTTCATGATCTCATGTTCACAAACAAGGAAAGAACTAGAAGAGGAATGATTAATTATAAGTTATGTTCTCACTGCAAAACTGAAGAAGAGACTATTAAACATATTCTGCGAGGCTCTCATAAAGCTAGGGTTGTTTGGGGAAGCTTGCAGAGAAAAACCACACTCTGCCAATGAAAGAGTGGTTGATGGTTAATGTCAAGAATAAAGGAACAAGGATTGATTTTGGCATTGTCTTCTGGCACTTGTGGAAGTAGAGGAACAAGGAGGTGCTTGATGGTAAATTTTTCTTGAAAGATGGCTTGATTGCCAGAATCAACATGTGGTTTAGCATTGTTTGGAAAGCTTATTACAATGATTAGAAGACTGGGAATCAGAATCATGCTAAGAGGATCACGAAACAGGTGGCTGGAAGCCACCAAGGGAGGGTTGGATGCAAGTTCAAACAGATGGCTTTGTGCTTACGTCGATTGGGAAAGCTGCTGGTGGTGGGTTAATCAGAGACAACCTGGGAATTTGCAGAGAAACCTCATCTGCAACCTCGACTATTTTTCAATCACGGTTGCAGAACTAAAGGGAGCTGCAAAAGGCCTGAAGATTTCTTGGGGGAAGGGCTACCAGAAGGTCAATCTGATGTTTGATTCTACTATGACGATTAACATTATTAAGGGCGGCTCCAATGACAAACATCGACATGGAAATATCGCCAAACAACTTAAGATTCTCCTAAGCCTGGATTGGGAGGTTACGGTTTCACATGTGTTTAGAGAGGCAAATCATGTCGCTGACTTTTTGGCGTATAAAGGTCATGATTGTAATTTTGGCACACATTCTTTCGATGTGTGTGACCAAGGTCTTGATCAATGGCTTCGCCATGATGTAATGGGTATCACTCAAGAACGTCTTATTATTAATTCGAGTTAGGCATCAGTACGTCAATCTTTCTACAAAAAATGGTGGCTTTGGCCTAAAAGACCTTGTTGTTTGAATGTACCTTGTGTTGCGCGCACATCTTCTGACTTCTTTTGCTATGTAGCGTTACTTTGTCGTTACCTTGTTGTTTGAAATTCGAGTGCTTTAGCTAGTATACATTTTGACCGGTAGCACTCTCTGTCTTGGGTTTTACTTAGTTCAAGACTTCAAGTAGCTGTATTGATGATGAATGTATTGCTTCCTTTTTGAATTTTTAAGAAACACGAATCTTTGGCACCAGTGATGGCTATAATTAGATGGATTAAGCGACAATTGAGAAGGATAAAATGGATTAGAATGCGATACAATTAAGGATTGGGAATAAGAATTGGAGGAGAATCTTGTGAAGATTTTTTTTAGAATTAGGGATTATAAGAGATTAAGTAAAGAAGATGAGAGAAGAGGGATAAACTAAATATGGTTTGTCTATTGATTTATGATTAATTATGATGTGGTGGTCCGACGGCTGAGGTCCGGTGGAAGATGGGGTTTGACAATAAGATTTGTGTAGAAGGAAATGGGTTTTCTGGTGGAATTTGGGTTTTGTAGGATGGGCACCATGTCTTGTTAGAGAAAGCTAACCGATCTACTCAAATGCTTCATCTGCGAGCCCGATTTGGTAACGGGGAGCAGGGTTATCTGACAACAGTCTATGGAAGCTTAGCTCAGACTACTCGGTGGCCTTTATGGAAGAGCATTAAGAGCATTGCGATGGGGATGGACGCTCCATGGATCCTCGTTGGTGGCTTCAATGCTCTTCATGGTCAGCATGATAAGTTGAGTGGTGCGGCGTTTGCTAAAGCGCCGAGCAGGGAGTTCAAAAGTTGTGTGGACGACTGTGTGTTAATGGATGTGGCGTTTTTTGGTCCTAAATTTACCTGGCAACGTGGCAACCTGAGGGAGCGGCTTGATAGAGCCCTCTGTAATGGCCACTGGTTCCACCGCTTCCCGGAGACACATACAACTCATCTTCCAAAGCTCAAGTCCGATCATCATCCAATTCCCACTTGTTTAGAGGGCTAGCAAAGGATGGGTCGGAAGGACATGCCATTTAGGTTCCTCGCCCCCTGGCTGCTGCATGAAGACTTCCCCCGAGTGCTACAAGAGAATTGGGCGGGTGGAGATGAGTACAAAGCAGTTGTGGCAGCCTTGACCGCAATCCTGAAGATATGGAACAAGGAAGTGTTCAGGAACATTACTGCCAAGAAGAAAAAACTTCCAGCCAAACTACATCGGTTGGAAGAACGCAATGAATCCTGTCCTTCTCTTGAGAGCCTCCAAATTAAAGGAGTCGATAGTTCGTAATGACCTCATGGAAGTTCTCAAGCATGAGGAGCTCTTGCGGTTTCAAAAATCGCAAGCGAAGTGGCTTCTAGAAGGTGATCGGAACACCAAATTCTTTCATTTGTCCACCTCAAACGCAGAAGTTGCAACCGGGTCAGGAGACTTAAATTGGGAAATAGCGAGTGGGTGGAGGAGGTAGGCTAGCTCAAGAACCTTGTGAGTGAGTTCTTTGTTGACCAGTTCGCAGACCAATCGAGTACAGGATCCTCTCTCGATGACCACTTTCCGCCGATTGGGGAGGCTTGCAACTCTCTGCCAACGATCTACAACAGGACGAGATTGTGAAAGCCTTTAAATCCATGGGGGGCTTCAAGGCGTCGGGAAAAGATGGGTACCAACCTCTCTTTTTTCAGAAACGTTGGAGTACAGTGGGAAAAAAATGGGTTGCGTTTGTCTCTAACTATTTAAGGAACCCGGAGCTTGTGGCATCTGTCAACAAAACCCTCATTGTGCTAATCCCGAAGACGGCGCAGCCTGCGAGAGTTGCTGACTTCAGACCGATAAGCCTGTGCAACGTGGTCTATAAAAATTTCACTAAATGTTTGGCTAACCGGTTAAAACCTTTCATGGCGCAGCTTTTGGCTCTAACGTAGATGAGTTTCATTCCGGAGAGACAAATCCATGCTAACATTATTATCCTGTAGGAGGTGGTCCACTCTATGCATGCTAGGAAATGTGGGAGAGTCCATATGGTGCTTAAGATTGACCTGGAAAAAGCATATGAATGGATAAAATGGAGCTTCATCGCTGATACGTTGCAACCGGAAGGGGCACCAGAGTCTTTCATTCGTGGGGTGATGGAATGCGTCACTACCCCGTCCATGGATATCCTCTAGGAGGGTGAACCAACAAAGGCTTTTTGGCCTACGAGAGGCATCCGTCAGGGCTGCCCGCTATCACCATATTTGTTCACCTTGTTCAGAGACTCAGCCACCTGATCAATGAAGCAGTAGAGAACGCGTTGAGGAAGTCGATCCAACTAGTGAAGGGAGGTAATAAACTTTCCCACATCTTTTTAGATGACGACCTTGTTGTCTTTGCTGAAGCCTCGCGGGAACAGGTGGACATCATCATGCAATGTTTGAGCTAGTTCTGCGAAGCGTCGGGTGGGTTAGTGAGCAAGGAGAAATTGAGAGTCTACATTTCCAGGAATGTGAAGCGTGACCGGTGCAATGAAATTAGCGAGAAACTGGGGATCCCTATAACTCAAGATCTTGGGCAGTACCTAGGAGTCGCAGTCCTGAATGGTCGGGTCACAAACCAGGCAGACCAGTATATCATTGATAGGGTGGATAAAAGGCTCGAGGGGGTGGAAAGCAGACAACCTCTCTCTGGCGGGGCAGGTCACTCTCGTTTTATCAGTCCTCAACGCCATTCCATCGTACGCTATGCAGACGTCAGTGCTTCCTCCGTCCATTTGTGACTACATCAATAGGCCAATTCGGGGTTCTTAGCAGGGGAGGAGACAGATTCACCTCATCAACTGGAGCACTATATGCCACCCAAAAGACCAGGGTGGTTTAGGTCTGTGCAATGCCCGTGATATAAATATTGCATATCTCTTAAAACTTGCTTGGACTGTCCTTAAGCTCCCCGATGAACTCTGGGTACGGATCTTAAGAGAAAAGTACCTAAAGGAGGGGCCTGACGGTGTCATTAGTGCTTGCGGGAAAATTGGTTGCTTAGTATTGTGGAGAGGAATTCGCCGTGTTTGGAGCCTTATGGATGAGGATGTCATATGGAGTGTTCGTGATGGGCGATCCACAACGTTCTAGGAAGCGGACTGGCTTGATAGGGGGGACTGCCTCTCGGAGCATGTTATTAATAGGGATGCCCAATTCCCAGACCAAGCCACGGTGGAGGATATGGTGACGATGAATGTCGAGTGGGACATGCAGGTGATAGGGCGCTACTTACCCCATGATATTGTTTTGCAGGTTGCAGGGATGCCAATACCCAAACCGGAGCTTGGTGCCGATGAGCTAGTGTGGGGGCTGGAACCCAAATTCTTCTTCTCCCTCAAATCGGCGTATAGGCTTGTGGCATAAGTGGATGGAAGTGAGGCGAACTCCTTCAAGAAGACCCTGTGGAGGTGGCCAGGACCTCATAAAATTCGCCACTTCCTATGGCTCGTGGCGCATGGCAAGCTGTTGACGAACATGGAACGCACCCGCAGGAACATCAAGACCCAGACTTCATGTCAACGGTGTCGGGAAGCGGACGAGACTGTAGATCATGCTCTTCATCGATGCTCCTTCGTGCGTGAGGTTTGGAAAGCGGTACTACCAGAGGCTATCTCCCTTGCAACACTAGAGACTTACAGGAATGGTTGACAGGCTTAGTCGGCTGCCCCCAGAAAGTTGCGTCATGTCACAACACTTTTAACGGTAATTTAACAGATAACTAGACAAAAGGGTATATCTATTGCGTTTTAATATTAGAAGTATATGTTTTTCAAAAATTTAATAGATGGGTACGTTTGTTAATTTAACATAGTTAAATGGTGCAAAATGCTATTAACCCATGTTTAAAGGAAAATAATTATACCTTAAATAACACAAAACATGAATTTGAAGGTTTAAAAGGAAGAGAAATTTCACAATACTATAAAACATTGGTGCTATAGGTTTTTGTCTTTGGTACAACTTCATATTGTAACTATATTCTTTTGTACAATTTTTTTTTTTTAATCTTAATGTGATGGTAAAACTTTAAGTTGTAAAGTTGTACTATAACATAAATGTACAAATTTTTTTATGGTACAACCGAACTTATACATTTAACGTTATGATACAACTTTAATTTGTACATTAAATCACAAATACTTTATAATAGCATAATAAAAGTGCTATAAAAGGAATAGATATGAAAATGAACGACTCATTTTGAACTTATCTTCCCTTTAAAGTAGTGTTTGCTTGTTGTTGCTGCTACCTATCGGCGCCTATATGCCAGATCCCATATAGTTCATCCATGTCCATGATCCAACCACCGTCTTCTTTCCAACTTCATTAATGACTTTTTTTGAAAGAAAAATAAATATAAAAACGGCAGAAAGGTAAAATGTCACTGTTACCCTCCGGCAGCACACACAGTGACAGTGGCATGGCATCCGTTACGATTTCCCTTCCTCTCAAACCAAACACATTTCAGAACCCAAAATAAAAAAGATCTTTAAAAAATTTCAAAATTTGAATTCCGAGCGGGTCTTGCGAGATAGGAAACTAACTATGGTTAATTATAACGGTTAGTTGGAACAAGCCAGCCTGGAAATTAAGGCGAGGCCAATCAAAATGAAAACCCAAACTGAATAACTGATCCGCCGGTGGCTGGCAATTACGCTTTTATTTTAACCGTGGTTACCTTGGGTTGCAGCAGTAACCATTTCTGGCTTCCCCAGCCTTTCTATATAACAACCTGATTTTCGGAACCCTTGCTCCACATCTCGAAAGAATAACGAAGGGCGTCTTCATAAACGCCGTTCCCCTGTTCTCCTTTCGCGGTTCTAGCTCTTCGGCTCCGTTCCCTTTCGCCTTTCTTCGCTCCGGAGTCTTCTTCCCTCAGCCCAACGAAAATGAGAGAGTGCATTTCGATCCACATCGGTCAGGCCGGTATCCAGGTCGGAAACGCCTGCTGGGAGCTCTATTGCCTTGAGCATGGCATTCAGGTAAAACTCCATCTTCAGATCTCGATTGTTGTTGAGTCGTTCTTTTCATTTCTTAGAATTATCTGCAATTTTGATTCGTCAACTGTTCGTTATGCTTCTGCTTCTGCTTCTGCATCTGCATTCGTCAGATCTAGATATCTGGTTTTAGAAATCGAGGCTAATGGTTGAAATCTTGTTGAATCTATCGTTTTTAACTTGGATTTGATTAGATCCATGAGTTTGTGATAGATCTCGTTTGGTTCTTTACAATGTTGCCTTGTTTACGCTCTGTTTTCCGTTCCGGATTGCAATTGTAAACTCAAAATGCTAGTTCGAAGGTTGTAGGCCAGATCTGTGAATAGGAGCTCGTTAAGATCTCGGTAGCGATGGTGTTTGGACGTTTGTAAACTGAATTTGTTGGTATTTGGCCCGTTGCAGCCTGATGGCCAGATGCCGAGTGACAAAACCGTCGGCGGAGGAGACGATGCCTTCAACACCTTTTTCAGCGAAACTGGTGCAGGGAAGCACGTTCCTCGCGCTGTGTTCGTCGATCTTGAGCCCACCGTCATCGATGAGGTGAGGACTGGAAGCTACCGCCAGCTCTTCCACCCTGAGCAGCTCATTAGCGGCAAGGAAGACGCCGCCAACAACTTCGCTCGTGGACACTACACAAGTAAAGTCTAAGATCTTCGTCATATCTCCCTTGATTCTCTGTCAATTTTCAACGGATGCCTTAACTGAATGATTTCCTTTTGATCGTGTTTGCAGTTGGTAAGGAGATTGTTGATCTGTGCTTGGACCGCATCAGGAAGCTGGCTGACAACTGTACTGGACTCCAAGGTTTCTTGGTTTTCAATGCCGTCGGTGGAGGTACTGGATCCGGTCTTGGATCTCTCCTCTTGGAGCGTCTTTCCGTTGACTACGGAAAGAAGTCCAAGCTCGGATTCACTGTTTACCCCTCCCCTCAAGTGTCGACCTCTGTCGTGGAGCCCTACAACAGTGTCCTCTCGACTCACTCCCTCCTTGAGCACACTGATGTCGCTGTTCTTCTCGATAACGAGGCCATCTATGACATCTGCAGGCGCTCCCTTGACATTGAGCGCCCAACTTACCACAACCTGAATCGCCTCATCTCCCAGGTAACCATCATCCGTGTGAATAATCAAATCTGTATCTGTGATGAATCTATGTTCAATGTTGATTTAACACTGATTTTGGTTCTCGATTGTCATCAGGTTATCTCATCCCTCACTGCCTCGCTGAGGTTTGATGGAGCTCTCAACGTGGACGTGACGGAGTTCCAGACCAACTTGGTCCCATACCCAAGGATCCACTTCATGCTTTCCTCCTATGCCCCAGTCATTTCAGCTGAGAAGGCATACCATGAGCAGCTCTCTGTGGCCGAGATCACCAACAGTGCCTTCGAGCCTTCATCCATGATGGCCAAGTGTGACCCGCGTCACGGCAAGTACATGGCCTGCTGCCTCATGTACCGTGGTGATGTCGTCCCCAAGGACGTGAACGCTGCTGTGGCCACCATCAAGACCAAGCGCACCATCCAGTTCGTCGACTGGTGCCCTACTGGATTCAAGTGCGGTATCAACTACCAGCCGCCAACTGTTGTCCCTGGAGGCGACTTGGCCAAGGTGCAGAGGGCTGTGTGCATGATCTCCAACTCCACCAGTGTTGCCGAGGTCTTTGGCCGTATTGACCACAAGTTCGATCTGATGTATGCCAAGAGGGCCTTCGTCCACTGGTACGTTGGTGAGGGTATGGAGGAAGGTGAGTTCTCGGAGGCTCGTGAGGATCTGGCTGCCCTCGAGAAGGATTACGAGGAGGTCGGTGCCGAGGCTCCTGAAGATGGTGAGGATGAAGGAGATGAGTACTAAGAAGGAATAGCGAGATTGTGATGTCAAAGATGGCACTTTCTATTGTGCGTCTGGTTATCTGTAGCTGTTTGATGTTTGTTGATGATGGTTCAGACTGAATTTGTTGAATTGCTTCTCTTTGTGGTTTTGCCCAGACAGTCGGCATTGATGGTTTTATCCGTCTCTGGTTGCTCTATATTTGCGGTTTAAACAAGAGGAGCTCATTGTCCTATGTTTTTTTATTGGTATTCGCTGTTTTGTTTGGTTTTGGATGGACTATATTCGAGAGGATCTCTTATGTTCTTCTATTGACGACACTTAGTTTGTCAATGAACTCCAAAATATTATTTCTGGCTCTACTCTTGCTCTCAAGAGAACCATGCTAGCTTTGTGCCAATATATGTCATTACCCTTCTGCTCTTTGCAAGAGATCTGATACGCCCCTGAGGGGTGTATGTTTCTCAAAGTCACGCAGCAAACGACTCAATCGAAGAATCGATTGAGCTCGAATCATGAACAAAGCGTTTTTAATACGAACTTGGATAAAACGGAACCAAAAGGATAAATCCACACCTGGGGATAGCTCGATTGGTATAAAAGGGTAGTTGTTCGACCACGATTGAAGTGACTATTCAATCGATACACAAGCTCAGCAAGTTTGGAATCCACCAAACCCAAAACAAGTCGCAACTTGCACAAACCAAACGGTTTCTTTTCTATTCAACAAATTCTGAGTTTTACAACGAAAGTAGAAAGGTATTTAAAGGCAAATAAACCTAATACAAACCTAATAGAAGTAGGAAACAATTAAGGTAAAAATCTACTCTAAAAAGGACTCAAAATTCGGATTTAAAACTCTCTTTCTTCAAGTGCAAGTAAGCTGCCAGCAAACAGTCCAAAAGCAGCTTTCGTACTAACTTCGCGCCTTTTGTTCAAGGCTTTCCGAAACTTCAATCTTTCATCCAATTCCTTCCCTTGGTATATAAACATACCTAGTTTCATGTTGTAGAAGCCTTTGGTCTCTAATCAGATCCATGCTCCTTGAACTGAGCTCCAAAGTAGGCTTCACAAAACAGTTTCCAGACTTAACCATTTTCTGGCAGTTTTCCAGTTTTGAGGTAGCAACTTTGAGGTCTTGGAAAACAATCTTAATGACATCATCTGGCTTCAAAAAGCATAACATTGAAAACATGAAAACTTTATCTACAATACAAACCCTTGAACTGGAATTTCCACCAAGCCAATTGAGAGAACCATGCCTCCAAAGTATGTAACCTGAACACGGATTTTGACTTAGCCAAATTCTGCCTTTCTTCTTTCCAACCATGATAGCTTCTTTGGCAAGTAATTGTGACTTGTAGAAGTGGCCAATTTGGATCATATCAAGATCATTATCCCCTCTTACGTAGAGGTGTTCAAAATTCAAATGGTTACCATAGTAATTACCATTGTATATTGTTGCTGCCGTGTGTTTAGGATGGGGAAATGTAGCAAAGTTTCGTTTTGTGTGGCTAAGAGGAAGAAGAAGAGTATGGCTGTATGGGATACTAGGGCTGGGAATCTAGACCAAATCGTATGGGGAACCGCGGTCTAGATCGTATTGTATGGTATGGTGTGGACCGTGAGACCAGAACTATGGTCTGGTCTGGTTTGCGGTCTCCTCCTTTAGTGTGTGGTCTAAAGTGATCTGGGCCGTGGTTTATTGTGGTAAACCGTAACAGACCGTGACACACTACCTACTAACTCATACCAAAATAATACGGGAGTTCAGCCAGGCCTGAAAATCAAAGAACCGATTCATCGTCGTGTACAAAGAGAGGGCCTTTCTAGCCACCAATTGAGCTACCCTATTGCTACGCCGACCTACAAATCGAAACTAAACCCAAAGTGAATGGCAAAAAAATGCACTATTTCTTCGAGAATAGCCCCCATCCGGTTATCTCTAGTCTCAGCTAGAAGAATCTTCTCAATAATCACTTTGGCGTCCCCTTCAAACCTAATTATTGTGAATCCGTGGCCCTGACACCATAAGATTCCTCCCCGAGCACAGGCAACTCAATCACCATTGCATCATCGATAAACGAAATTGAATCCCATTAGCCATAAGGACTTTCCAAGCTGGGTTTATAAGAACCATCCCACCGGATGAATGCGAACCACTCCTCGTAGCCCCATCCCACATACAAATAACCCCATTCGCCCCCAAGACCTACTATAGTCGTCTCCCTAGGGATTATAGGGATGGATGACGGAGGCACTCGATCCATCGGCAAACTTACACACTCATCATACTACTGGTGAAATTGAAGCATCAAGGCTGGTATCCTAAACTGTTTGCCCTCAAAGACAACCCAGTTACGAGACCGCCAGATCCTCCAAAGGATGGCAACCACCGCCATGAACAGAGAAGGTTGGTGTATTAAAGCCAACAACTTTTTTAGAAAGAGGGGGAATGTGTGACGAGGCAACCCTTACCCCAGATACTCCAGGCCTGAATAGTCCCACAGGGCGCGAGGCATCGGCCAATAAAGAAACAAGTGTTCCATTGTTTCTAATTCAGCCCAGCAAACCGGGCATCTGGGAAGCATCAGGAAATCCTTCTCAATTAGAGCTTCAGTAGTTGAGAGGATTCGGCGAAAGATTTGCCAGATAAACACCTTCAATTTGGGCGGAAATTAGTCTCCCATAACCGAATCCAGCTGGTCCTATCCATCCAACTAGCCATGGACCGCCATCGACCACTATGCTTATAAAGTAAGATAGCAAGTTGGTAAGCCGATTTAACCGTAAAAATTCGTCAACCGTGGCGTGCCAAATCAGTCTATCAACATTCTGTCGCGGAAGCGGAATAACTTTGATGGCACGACAGGTGGGCGGGTCAAACCACTTATTAAGTTTGCGGTCACACCAATGCCCTCCCCCTTGACAGATAACCTCAGCTACTGGAGGCCCCCAGGTAACACAAGAGGATTATACACCGGGAGACAGGGTTGAAACCAAGGGATCCATTTGGAATGAAGAAGCGAGGCAGATTGCCCATTACCAATTTGCCAGCGTAGCCCCATGTCCAATAACTGTCTACCATAGAGGATGCTTTGCCAACCCCACGATGGGTGAGAGCGAGCGTGGCACTAAGGAAAGTCCCCATCGGAAATATTTGTCTTTGTAAACCTGGGCTAATAATGATTGGGGTTCATTAAGGATACACCAACCAATCTTGGCTAACAAAGCTTGATTAAAATGTTCAAAACGATGAAATCCCATACCCCCTTCATGCTTGCTTTTGTACATATTGCGCCAGGAGACCCATCGATTTTTTGACTGGACCTCCTCCACACCAAATTTTCGACTGGCCCTCATCGCTTGCTTCAATCACCGAATTGCCCATAATATCCCAGAAAGCCTTAAAGAATTTACCTGTGAAGCCATCAAACCCCGGTTCCTGCTTCGACCCCATGGAAAATACCGTTTTCATTACTTCACTGGGTAGAACCTCAGCCGCCAAATTGGCATTCATTTCCGGAGTAGCACTGTGAGGGATGGGGAGAGTCGCCAACCTATCCGCCATATTTGGTATTTAAGTCTCCGAGGTAAAAAGATTTTGATAAAAATCAGTAGCAATAGCTGCTTTCCCAGTTTCCTTAGTGATCCATTTACCATTATCATTGCGAAGGCCGAATACAAAGTTCCATTTTCGACGAGCTCTCGTAACCATATGGAAATAAGAAGTATTTTATCCCCTCTTTTCAACCACAGGACCCTGGACTTTTGCTGCTAGTAGATCTCCTCCGCCTCCCATTGGCGATTCAGCTCAGGTTTCAGGCTCCTAATCACATCCCAGTCAATAGGATGGATCAATTTAATTCGGTCAATCTCAACCGCGAGAGTATTAATGCTACACAAGGAGTTCGTAGTGCCCGCTCTACTCCAGTCATATAGCAGATGGAAGAGCTTCTTAAGGAGTTCTCAAAGTCGAAACATATAGGTACCCTGAACTGATCACCATGGTAACCTGGGTCATGAAGACCCAAATCCCGGACAAAGTCACGCAAGCTAAGAGATTGAGCAACATTCCATAACAGTCCACCATTCTTTTCACCCTCATGAAGAGTAGTGTTAAAATCACCTATGACAACATAGGGTTGGTGGATGTTATCACAAATTTCACGCAACCGAGCCAATTGAGTAGCTCTTATTGCAACATTACAGCTAATGTAAACAAAAATCATTACATAAGAAAAATCCACTTCATTAATTTGCGTACAAATACAGAAGTTGGAATGAAAATCCGGGGGACCAAGCAACTACTAAACCTCCAGATGCATCAATTGCATCAACAAAGAAACAATGAGAATGATCAAAACCTAACCCCCCATACGACGGGACGCTACTCTCCGACTCAATCGTGTTTCAAAGAAGAACACGAGATCCGGTTTATTAGAATGAACTAAACCAACAGTTGTTTGGAATGTGAGTGATGGTCCAATTCCCCTCACATTCCAGGACAATAGCCTCATTTATCAGTTGGGGGTCATTCGAGGCTGGCTTCCTCCACCTTCTCTAAAAGACCAGCTGATTCCACGAATTGTTTTTTCAGCATAGGAGGGTCTCCCACTTCTCCTTCCATCTCATCCAGTGCTAGGGTTGACAATGGAAAGACTTTTCGTAAATATCACCGCAAGTCCAGTAAGGCATACCACATGTTTATTAACGTACATAACAATTCACATAAACTAGACACATGTTCATAAAAGCACACCACAAGGTTCTTAGCCCACACCGCAAGTATGTTGTGTTTTCATTTAATTTATTTAGTATGCACATGAAGCTTAATGTTGACGGTCAATCTATGAATTGCTGATCAATGATATTTAGGGGTTGTTTCGGCCGAAGGAAGAAGACGACGAAGACAAAATTTCATTCGAACTGTGGATTTTCATCATAAATTGTATTTGCGAATTAACCAAATGATTGGGCTTAAAGTAATGCAATAATTTGGGATCCAATTTGTGATTCTTTTATTGGCTTAATGGCCCAAGCAATAGGTGTAAGTAAATTTTGTTATTAAAAAGATTGTGGATAATTTCAGAGGGTGTTGGAAACTTATTAGACGTTGATTAGTTTTCGTAGTTGTAAACGTCTTAATTGTTGATGAATTCTGATTGTTTTGTAACGAAATGAGATCACAATGAAACATATAATCTATCTCCTCAGCGAGACTGAAGTTGTAATAGCCATCTCTTGTTCTTCAGTAAGGGGAATGCCACCAGTGAGAATCTTAAGAATCTGACCTGGAAGCTCAGTAGTCAGACTAATCTTGTAACCATTCACCAAAGTCGAGAACGCTCGAGAAGCAACACCATTGTACTGCATGTTTGCATAGAAATACCTTACAACTCTGACCAGCAGAGAGCAAATTTATATAGGTCTTGAAAATTATGATTATTCGCCATAAGCCATCAGTTTATTGCTAGACAAATCAGTAATTTCATCATATCAAGCATACATGGTCAAAATCATCGAGCCGGTAGAAATAACATTCTAGGTGGATCTCTAGGTTCTGTTGTGAGTGTTGTTTCTTATATTTAATCAAATGAATATGACTCATCTGAAAATTTGACAACAAAAATCCGAAGAAAAACGAACCAGGACATGAGAGAAGTGAATAGCAACAATTGGGAGATAAGCCAATCCTGTCAAAACAATGCAGAAGCCCAGAAGCAAACCATCTGATGGAGATTTCCCCTGCCACCATTGGAGGGCTTCAAAAATTGTTTCACGGCAGAACCACACTGATAGAGCAACCACACTAGCATGAGCATAACCTTGCCATGGTTTCATCTTGGAGGACATCGGTGTCTTATCCCTGGAAAATGTTTCAGCAGAAATGTACTGTGAACCAGAGGGCATGTATGCAGAGAGAGGGTGTGAAGAAGAAACCCCCATAGAATGGAGAGATAAAAATTAATTACAGACGTTAGAATTTAATTTCGGGGAGAGAATATAGCCCCTATATCGGTCAGAAATGCAACGGACTATCAGAGATTAGACAAGACGAAAATCCTACTATCCCTGATGTCTGGATTGATAACCCTATACTTGTGGCCTGCTTTTTTCAATTAATGAGGATGCTTAATTTTGTAGTGATTTATTTGATTTGTTTTTTTTTTTGGCGTAAATAGTGCAGAAGCATCAAATCCGAACCCAAAAGCGTCAAAATTCAGTTCATTGGAAATGGTTGTGCCTGAGTTGGAAGAATCAGAGAGCCCGAAGACCCCTCTGTTTGTGAAGAAGAAGGCTGACCAAGACCCCTTATTGCTCTGGGTTCTCCAGATCGATTTGAGCCAATTCCGCCCTTCAGAATCATTCATGGGGATCCAAGGAACGTGTAGGATCCATCAATTCGACTCAAATATGCTTGGATTGAAAAACCCCAAATTCGGCTTCGAAATTCCGGGTTTGAATTCCGGCGACGGCGGGACAGAAAGTCTGGTTGGTTCGAAGGGTACGGCGACCATTCGAGGCTGGGAAAGGGTTCAAAAATTCAATTGGAAGCCTGGAGAAGAGCTTGGAGTCGTTGAATTGGATTGGGAATGTCAGAATTCAAAATCCCCAATTCAGTCGAGCAAGAACATGTACGCAGAAGAAGTCCGACGACCTGGAAATTGTGCTGATCGTGTTCAAGTGAAATTGGACGTCGGGGCAGGTTTTTTTCAAGTTCAGGAAGAGTCCTCAACAACACTGCAAGATGCAAAGTCCAAAAAACAAAGCGAAGTTGAAGTTGAAGTTCTTGAAATTCTGCAGAAGAACATGTTTGAGCAGCCTACTTTCGATTCAGTTTGGGATCGATTCTGTGATTATTTTGACAAAAGGAAAGATCAAGCTTTGAGGTCAAAGCTTTTTGAAGAGGGGGAGCCTGATATGATCCAAATTGGCCACTTCTACAAGTCACAATTACTTGCCAAAGAAGCTATCAAGGTTGGAAAGAAGAAGGGCAGAATTTGGCTAAGTCAAAATCCGTGTTCAGGGTACATACTTTGGAGGCATGGTTCTCTCAATTGGCTTTGTGGAAATTCAAGGTTAAGGGTTTTTTTTGCAGATAAAGTTGTCATGTTTCCAATGGTATTCTTTTTGGATCCCGATGATGTCATTAAGGTTGTTTTTCAAGGCCTCAAAGTTGCTACCTCAAAACTGGAAAACTGCCAGAAAATGGCTAAGGCAGAAAACTGTTTTGTGAAGCCTACTTTAGAGCTCAATTCAAGGAGCATGGATGGTATTCATGTCAAAAGACTTACACAAAGTGAAACTAGGTATGTTTGTGAACAGAGGGAAGGAATTGGTTGAAGAATTGGAGTTTGGGAAGGCCTCGAACGAAAGGCGCAAAGTTAGTACAAAATCACAGAATTTCTGCCTTTGTAAAACAGGATTTTCTTTCCTTATTCAACTATGATTGTTAGATTTGATTCCTTTTCGAGTTAGATTGTATTTTGACTTCCTTTTTAGTTGTTAGACGTAGCTTAGGTTTATTTAAAGCTTTCTTTTACGTTGTAAACTCAGACTTTGATTAATCGAAATTGAGAACCGTTTGGTTTGTGCAAGTTGCGACTTGTTTTGGGTTTGGTGGATTCCAAACTTGCTGAGCTTGTGTATCGATTGAATAGTCACTTCAATCGTGGTCGAGCAACTAACCTTTTATACCAATCGAGCTATCCCCAGGTGTGGATTTGTCCTTTTGGTTCCGTTTTATCCAAGTTCGTATTAAGAACGCTTCGTTCTTGATTCGAGCTCAATCGATTCTTCGATTGAGTCGTTAGCTGCGTGACTTTGATAAACATACACCCCCCAGGGGCGTATCAGTAAATAATTGCTTTGTGGTAAACTTTATTTGCATCGAAGTCTAAGAGGGTGCTCAAAATTGAATATAAATGGTTAAGCCTTACCTCATAAAGACTTAATAAATTATATATCAAACAACACAATACTATGTAGTTAATTTCCTGATCGAAATTAAGTAGTTTAGCAATTTTTTGTCGTTGGAAGAGAACAAATCACCAATTGAGAAATAATGATTATAATTAGTATCATCATCATCTACGTAGAAGAAAATTCGGCCGCTTTAACACACTCTCTACCCTATATAAAATTAAGCTACAATCATTGAGGGAAGAGCGGATTAAAAAAAAGAGTCTTTCAGGGCCTTGTGTTGGGTAGGTTTTATGAGACATAAAAGTAGGAAAACTGCGCGCTTTAACTTTCCACGTAAAGGTAGATAACTCCGCGTTGTAACTTCCATCATTGCAGCCATATCCTTCATATCCCCCTACTATCCACCAAAACCCTATTTATTTTTGTTTATTATTACCCTACTATCCACCCAAAGTCCCAAACCATAATTTTTTCTCTCAAATGTCTGTCATGTCACTAAGCATTGTCAATCAATATTCTTTTATAAAAAGTATAAAAATTATAAACCTTATTCTAGTTTATGAGTTGTTTCTCCTTCACAATACTAAATCAAGATTTAAACCCTAAACCCTCCTAAACCCTAACTTCATGTTCATGTATACCCATCTTTGATCTATATAATTTTGTTTCATCCAAATACAGTAGAAGACTAATGTAATCTTTAAAATTTTTAAGTTTAAACGCCGATTTTGAATACATTGAATGTAATTAGAGACTAATGTTCTCCATATATGAAGTTTTGAAACATGGATAGGTCTCACGATCTCCATGTCCATAAAAGGACTGCGAGCTTACCAAAATATATATATTGATTCGGGCCTAATTGCACACATTTTATCCCAGTTTAGCATTTGAACTCCTAAAGTGGTGGTTTTACGCTAGGTTTTGTGCGTTTTAGTGTGTTTCAGGATCCAACAGATGAAACCAGCCCCATAGTCGAAAGTTGGACGAAAAAGGCAAAGACCGGGCAAAAAGGGTGATTCGGTCAAGGTTCACGGTTTCCCATTGGAGTTCACGGTCTCCTAAGGTCGTGAACAGAAGCTCAAAACCATGAACCGCGAAGCGTCCAAGGCAAAATCTGAAGTTACTGGCGCAAGGCCAGTTCACGGTCAATAAGACCATGAACTTTGAGTGCAAATTGTGAAATCATGTGAGAGAAGCGCCGATGCGTTTCGACATAGCGCTGTGTTCACAGACGCATTGAAGAGTTCACGGCCGTGAACTGAGCCTGATCCTAGTATAAAATGTGAGCTGAAAGGAAGAGAGGGGGGAGGGGCAAGTGTGAGAAAGTGTCTTCTCCTTCAGATTTTAGAGAGAGAAAGGACGAATCAAGGAAGGAAGAAGGCTAGGGTTTGCTCCAAGTGGTGAATGGGGAAGAATCTCCCCAAGAGAAGATCAACACAAGATCAGAGGAGATTGGAGGCATCACCATGATGGTTTCTACTTCTTTTTCTTGCCTTCTTCCCCTTTGTAGCATGGAGTAGCACTCTTTTTCACTTGGGTGTTGTGAAACCCTAACTATTTGGCATGTAGTTGTAGTGTGACTTGAATGATTGTTTATGAGTGTTGTTTAATTTAATGATTGAGGTATTTTTCACATGATTGTGCATGTGTGTGCTTAGTAATCTAATTGGCCATTCTAACCTATGTTGGAGGGGAAACCCCTCTTTCCAAAAGAGGCTCAATTGAGTTGGGATTCCTTGGGCTTTACAAGCAACCTACCTAGGTTAATGTAGGGCAAACCTCTATCTTGAATTAATCAACTAGGTTAATCATGATTAAGTCGTGCAACCATCGGTTTGAGGGAGAAGGTAAGTCAACCCTTAATTGCCTTAACCAAGAGGGCTACTCTTATAGCCTATAATGTATCCCTTGGTTTGGCAATTGAGAGTGTGGTCTTCGACCATAGTTGCACCTCCTAGCTTTTCATGATTGCCTTGCCCATAATGTCCCATTCGAGTCCACGTGCCATGGTAGTAGTTAGGGGGAAGCGACACCCGAGTGATCCTTCTCATCTATAGCTTTCAAATCATTTACCTTTGCTTTGTTTCGGTTTAAATCTAATACTTTTCAACCAAAAACCAATCCGCTAGATAATGCTTCAAACAATGGAAGTAGGGGTACATGGACCGGCCCGGGTTGATATTTAAACATACTTGCCCTATATTGCACCCATCTAAGGTTTATACTTGGGCCTTAGGTGGGATTTTGTTGTGATATTCAGGACGAGTCAAGTCTTTTGCGCCGTTACCGGGGTTCTTCAGTCCGTTATCTTGAAAAGGTTGTTTGGTGTTAATCTAGCTTTTAATTTTCAGCTTTGTTTGTTTGAGTGCTTTGCTTGTGCTAGATGTGGTGTTGTTCTCTAAGTGCGTGCAAGGAGGTGCATGAAACTAAGCAATCCGACGCCTTTAGTACCGCTTGACGAGAACATCAACCGGACTCTCCGACTCCTAGCTCAGGAGAGGGAGTTAGCAGAAGTAAGGAGGAGAAGTGAAGAAAGGGGACAACAACTGTGTCCCGGAGTTAGTGGAGTAGAAGTTGAAGGAGAAGTTGATATTGGAGTTGAGATGGCAGAGAACCAAAGAGAAGGAGAGCTGCCCAAGCTCACACCCACTATAATGAGGCGGCAGAGGAGGAAGCCCCGAGGAAAATGGGGTATTACATGGCCCCACGGCCGGCTGACATTCAATTTCCTATCTTACACCCTCCCGTGGCGGCCAACAACTTTGAAATCAAGCCAACCCTCGTGACAATGATTCAGAACAATGCTTTGTTCCACAGGCACACAAGTGAATCACCGAGGGAGCACGTGCACCGATTTCTTGAGCTCGCAGGGAGTTTGAAGATAAATGGCGTGCCGAAGGAGGCTTTGCAACTAAGGCTTTTCTCCTACTCACTTTTGGGGAAGGCACTTCAATGGCTCAACAACCGACCGCCTCGTTCAATTACCTCGTGGGATGATCTTCTCAACAAATTCATGACCCACTTGACCTCCTTCGAAGACGGACGAGTGGAGAAAGAAGATCACCCATTTCAAGCAAGATGAAGATGAA